GTAGTACTTGTTTCAGGGCGAACCGCGTACTTTCAGCGTGCCACCCGCGTACCAATTGCGGGCGACGCGCGGGACCGGTGCCCGCTCGCACGCTAAGGGCACGCGGGTGGCCCGCAGCCATTGTCTAAGAATGCAAGCGGGTCGCATGTTCGGCTAGACTGAGAATGCGTTTGTCTATCAGTTTAAGCAGACATGTTTGGTCACCATCCAATCTCTAGCAAAGGAGAGGTGGACATGTGGTGCGACTTTCCAACTGTAGGTGCAGCAATCTCGATGCTGCATTGCCGTTGTCATAAGTTTAGTCAACGGGAGCTTTTCTGTACTTGCACAACAGAGTTAGGAGGTGGTATACACTCCCTTCGTGAAGAAATAGAATTTGCCGTTGTGTAAAGGATTTTTCCAGAGGAAAAAACGCTGAAATATGTTGCATTTGAAGTGATGATCAAGTTCCCAAACGTCCCAGTTAATCTGACCATAGCTGCCACTAAAAATCGCACCATGTGTCCTATACCAAAAGCAAAGAGGTACGCTGTCTTAAAATTGAACACTCTTACACTCTGGGGCGATGCTGAACCCCAGGACCATTCGTCGGTCCAGTAAACGGTATTGGAAATTACACGAGGCAAACGAAAGTAACCAAACGGGCTTTCTCTCTGATGTTCTTGGGCGATGCCTTTAACTTGTGCATGTGCTACCATTTCTCTAACGAAATTTTGCATGTCTGGTTTTTCTTCTAGAAATCTCTTTGAAATTTTGCTTGATAATACAAATATTGGAGGAGTGTGTTTGGCTAGTCAGCTTCCCGAGTAAAATGGTTATATGATGATATATTTGATAGGAGAACTGCTTTGACAGGTGTTTTGTAGCGATGCTCATTGATAACAAAGTTTTTCAGTGTAATGTGATGCTGGGCCATAAGCAAAGCAAAAATCCGTAAGATAAGCCATAAATGCGATAAGTCAAAGACCCATGAAGCAAACAAAATGAGATCCTTGCAATTTCGAGTACGGTGAGCAACGGTTCCTTTCGTAGGGTTCGAATGCAACACCGTGATGATATTGCCTTAAGCAATTTAGCTAGCATGTAACCTCTTCACAACCCGTTTGGCTGTTTTTATTTAACCCTATGACTTACGATACCGTTTAGTGAACCGGCAAATAAACCACGGGTTTAGTATTGCCCCAGATTACCAGAGCAAGGAGAGGACTGGTATCAAAATTAAGGGCAGCAGCTAAAATTCACTTTTTTCAACTTCTAAACAGTGCTGTCTCAGTAATCGAAAACCAAAGTGGAGTGTTTTAAAAGTCAAAAAACCAAAGTTGAGTACACCCATTCCCCAAGATGTGAGGGCGAGTTGTCCATCACTTCGGGATCTCAGTGTTCAATACCAAGAAATCTTCAGGTTGAAAGATCAAAACGACGCGAAATGCTTCAGCGCCGACGTAAAACTCAAAGTATTAGGTTGAACGATAAGTTCTGGGACATTTTTCGTTTTTTCTTGTGAAAACCTGTAAAAGCTTCTGAAACATTCCATGTTTGGGACATATAAAGGGGTGCAAAGGACTACTCATTAGTATAGTCATCGTCTCAATGGCTTCGACAAGCAACGAATCTACAACAATTTCGCAAGAAGATTGCCGCGGTTCTTCACGAGTACCGTTTCGGCAGTTTTGTGCGCGTGCCTACCGATCGAATCAGCCAGTCAATGGGCGCGGGCACGACTTCCAAATTCACGGTCAACGTCAGCCGGTAGTATCAGCAGTTCGATGAAGGACAGACGACGCTTGAAGGTGGCCCACGGTCACGACGCCCTCCAGTCTTCGACCTCGACGTTCTGAAAGCTGCCTTGAAGAGGACTACCGTCAGTCGAGCTGGTGCCTTGCAGAGCGACTCGGACACTCCCAATCCACGGTGCTTCACTACCTCCATGACCTCGGGTTCGTCTGGAAAATGCCCATCTGGATCCCACATCAACTCTCGGCTACACAGCTCCAGTAGCGGACTGACATCGCGGCTTCTCTTCTCTCGTTCAAACGGACGACGAGGTGGCTAAGCAACCTGGTCACAGGTGGCGAGAAGTGGACGCTCTGCGTTAACTACCACCATGGTCGGCAGTTACTGAAGCCGGGCGATTCTGGAGCTCCGATGCCGAAAAGCGATCCACCTGCGAAGAAGGTCCTTCTGTGCGTCTGGTGGTGCACGACCGGTCCGATCCACTGGGAACTCCTGCCTCCAACAGTCACAGCGGACATCGGACCGAGTCTCCTCTCTCCAAGATAACGCTCGCCCACATGTGTCAAAGTCGACGCGTCAGAAGATCCAGGACCTCGGCTGGACGACGCTCCCCCACCCACCGTATTCTCCGGACATGGCCCCGACTGACTACCACCTATTGCGGTTGCTGAGCCACTTCCTCGACGGACGACAGTTCGAAGATGACGAAGACCTGAAAAGCAGGCTCCAGAATTTCTTTAACGAGAAATCTCCTGAATTCTATCAGAAGGGTATCTACGATCTTCCTATGTGTTGGCAGTATATTGTAGATCACGATGGTGCTTACGTTGTTGACTGAAGTTACAAAGGAATAAAGTAGAAATGAATTGAATTTATTCACAAAGTGTCCCAGAACTTATCGTTCAAACTAATAGAATGCATAGGATAGCCAATTCGTCAAATATCTTTACTTACAAGTCTGTCCGTCCGGCTTCGCCAGACGGACAGACGTATGTAGTGTTGTATAGTATTGCTCCTGGCCTGCTGCACGCTGCTACAGACCCCCTGCACATGGGTTCTGGGGCGGTATACAAATAACTCCTGATCATGATCGGGTTATATACTTTATGCGGCACGGTCGTGAAGACCTACCTGACCAAGCCACAGAACAGTATAATACCCGATCACCATCAAGTGATATATGTATACCGCCCCTGATCATCTCCACATTGGTTCCGAGCTTCTGCACGTCTGTCCTGACCTCCTGTGCATCAGTCGCGACTTTCTACCGCATACTGAGGCAGGAACCAAATTCGATTCCTGCTCATTGATTTAAAGCTCCTTGAGAGCGCTACCGGCCTTTTTCATAGAATACCAGCGGATCCGGACCGCTCCGCGGTCCTGCTCCGCTGGTTTGAACGGCTTCGCCGTTCTGTTTTGCTTCTCCTACTTCTACTGGTTCTCCATTCAGGGTATAGAATGGGCATTACACACGCCGGAGGCCCCCGCCCGTACACCTAGCGCACACGCCGAGCGGACCGTCCATCGCGGACGGAACGTCGATGCGCTTGATGGCGCGCACGCGCCGCGCGTGTGTGGTCCCATCCTAAGCAATGGCTGGAGGACTCACTGCTCCTACCAATGCCAGTGAACATTACTCATGCTTAGCAGCCGTTATATACAGTGATGATATCACTTTGATTTTCCATTGAAAACAACTTTTACACGTTCGACACGTATGTTGACACGCTGGAGAAACGAAAAGTGGTAGGGTCGAGTTCACACG